TTGAATTGGTTAAGATTGTATTCAGTGGAGTTTAGGAGAATGAGGGGGGATCGCACAGAAATGAACAAAATTCTAACAGGACTAGACAGGTTAGATTCAGGAAAGATATTCCTAATGTTGGAGGAGTCCAGGATCAAGAGTCATAGTTTAAGGATAAGGGGTAAACCTTTTAGGACTGAGATGAAGAGAAATTTCTTCACCCAGAGAGTGGTGAACCTGTGGAATTCACTATCACAGAAAGTGGTTAAGACCAAAACATTATGTATTTTGAAGAAGGTAGCAATGGCTCTTGCAGCCAAGGGATATTGGGGTGAGGTTAGGATTAGGATATTGAGCTTAATCATCAGCCATGATCGTATTGAATGGTGGATTAAGTTTACTCCTGCTCCTATCTTCCATGTTAAAAGCTGTGTTGCCTTATAAATATGGTTTATAAATATATTACTAAGTATGTCCCTCCTGAGCTAGTATTGACTGTGTAGTTTCCTTCTGCTCTATCATCATTCTGTGCTTATATTGTAACATGACATTTGAACATACAAATGGCTCAAAGATTATAAAGCAGGTGTTCTTTATTCCACTAGCATCAAGTCATAACCAACATGAAGGGAAATTAAGGTTAAACAGGGGAGTATTTCCAGTACTTACACGGAATAAAGTATACAGTTTATATTGGGTTGAGGCCTTCTTCCCCCAAAAACATCCTTTCTTCCAGAGCTCACTGTTGCCACCTGCTATTGGAGCTCCTGGCATACCTGCTCCTGCTCCCCTGCTCAGTGTCTTCCTTCACTTGCCATTTGCTGTTTGAGATTCTGTAACACTATGAAATGTAAACTTGTTTATCAGAGAACATTGAGTATTAATCAGGACTTGGAACCTTGGTAAACATTCAGCCTCTTAACCCTTGGCTGATGAGAGACAACCAAGATAGGCTTCCTACTATAATCCTAATTAAGATCAGTAACTCAGTCAGCACAACCTGAAACTGAGACCTTAGATATATTGCTGTGTTGCATGCTGCCTTTACCAATCAAAACCAAAATCTCTGAATGAGTTTTAAAAGGTGGAAATAGATGGAAGGTCTGTAGATTAAAGGGAAGTTGGTGAACATACTGCATTCAGATTTTCAGAAGGCATTTGAAAAGTTGCCACATCAAGCTTATTGTGGAAAATATAAGCTTGTGGTATATGGGGTAAAATATTAGTGTAGGTAGAAGATTCGATAGCTAACATGAAATAGAGTCGCATAAATAGATAATTTTCTGGTTGACAAGATGTAATGAATGGTGTGCCACTGGAATCAATGCTGGGGCCTCAGCTTTTAAAAATTATACAAACTACTTGAAGAGACCAAAAGTATGGGTGCTACATTTGCTGATGACACAAGTAAGTTGTGAAGAGGACATAAGAAGGGATATGGATAGATCAGGTGAAAGGGCAAAGAAAATGCAAATGGAGTATAATGTGGGAAAATGTAAAATTATCCACTTTGGCAGGAAGAATAAAAAAAACACTATCTAAATGGTAAGAGATTGCAGAGCTCTGAGATGCAAAGCGATGTTGGCATCCTAGTGTATGAATGACGAAGGATTAGAATGCAAGCACAACATATAATTAGGAAAACTGGTAGATTGTTATTGTTTTTTTTAAGGGAAATTCAAATTAAAGGTGTAGAGATTACGTTTGTTGCACAGGGCATTGGTGAGAACACGTCTGGAGTACTGTGTATGGTACAAGGCTCTTGATTTATGAAAGGATATAAATGCATTGGAAGCAGTTTAGAGAAGGTTTGCTTGACTAATACCTGGAATGGGTGTGTTGTCTTATGACGAAAGGATGGACAGGCTAGACTTATATCCACTGTAGTTTAGAGATCTAAACAGAGTTAATCAACAGAGATAATGAGAATTATTTTCTTACAGGAGTGTGAGTCTTTGGAACTCTCTCCTAAAGAGGTACAGAAAGCACAGTACAGTCCTTGGTTATTTTTAAGACAGAGGTAGCTGGAATGGTAGGTGGGAATGTGGAGTAAGCAGATCAGCCATTATTCTATTGAATAGTGAAGTAAGTTCAAGGGGCCAAGCAGCCTACCCCTGCTCATAGTTTGTATTTTTATATGAAACATTCCATGAGCTCAGAAATTTTGCAATGCAAAAAACAAAATTCTGGAATAAAAGTATTCAAGAGTAGAGGTGCCTAAGTGTTTATATGTACACATCATCGAAGATGACAGGGCAGGTTAACAAAGCAGTTAATACGTTTTACAAGATCCTGTCCTTTATAAATTGGAACTGAAAAAAAGAAAATTATAATAAATCTGTATAAAACACTTGGTCAGTCTCAACTGGAGTAATGTATCCAGTCATCGCACCACATTTTACGAAGGATATGAAGACATTAGAAAGTGTGCAGGAAAGATTCATGTGATTAGTTCCAGGAATTAGGAACCAATTATGTTATTGATTGGAGAAGCTGGTATTGTTCTCTTTGGGGAAGAGAAAGTTAAGGGGAGTTTTG